CGGCGGCTCTTCTCGGTGTTTCAGTGAGCTGGAAGTGCCTGGAGGTGGAGATTCTGATTTTATATTTCTCTGTTTACTGCTCCAACAGACCCCCTGTCCTGAACAGTACAAGTCCCTTTCAGTAAAATATTAATTTGGTGAAGGCATAAATTTTTCCATATTTTCCCCTTTTCCTATTTGTTCAAGAAAAAACAAGTCTTTGCTACTGATTATTCTGTTTTTAAAATGGTGTGTCTCTTTTTTTTTTTTTTTTCTTCCTCCCCCACCAGCGTTGAAGGCCTTCACGCTATTGTCGTCTCAGACAGAGATGGTGTGCCTGTTATCAAAGGTAACTCCAGCTTCTCGCTGTTAACCGCCACCAAACCCCTCACTGAACAGCAGGGGGTGGAAAAGTACAGCGGCATCTTCTCTGCTTATGCCCAATACCTGAATATCTGAAATTGAAGAATTAAATTAGACTTCTACTTCCAAGTTCAGTGATTGGTTATGTACCTGTTTAGATTTGTCCTTTTTTTTCCACGTATATGTGACGTCCTCAGTTGTCAGCCATGGAAGTTTTTCTCAGTGAGTAGGGTTGGAGTGGTGTAGGGCGCTCGTCTCTTCAAGTCCCTTGCAGGCTAACACACAGTGCTGGAGAGCTCATCAGTGTGTTATTGACTTGGCCGCTCTGTGCTCAGAAGCGATTGCATCCAACTTTTACACATGTTATTTAATTTAGTTTGGTTTTTGGTACTCTTAACTTTTATCATATCACTCCTGTCTTTATTTAAGATGTTTTTATATAGCGGGTAAACTAGTTTAAGAGTAAGGAAGAGTACTGATTCAAGTACTGCAGGTTATTTTTTTTTTTTAATATCTCAAAGTATTTAAACATCTAGCAGCATTTGCACATCTTCACCTGTTTTCATTCCAGTGCCAATAATCAATTCAAAAGCTGGAACAGGCACGGACCGTGAAGGACACAGAACCAAAGCAGCCTCAGCACAGGCTGTGCAGTGTAAAGGAGAAGACCAGGTTTTGGGTATGCTAGGGAGGAGGCTGGTGTAACAACCACAGATCACGTACAGAATGTTAAATGACGTACTGCTCTTGAAGATTTTCTGTACTTGTTGCAGAATTGTACATGTTGTGTGTTCCCCAACGCCCAATCTGCTTTTGGGACAGCACTAAGCTGCGTAAGGATTTGTGAGGCAGTTATAGATACTCTGGGAAAATAAGAATTTTCTTGTTTTGTTCCAGTTGCCAACGATAATGCTCCAGAGCATGCTCTGCGACCTGGCTTTCTGTCCACCTTTGCCCTTGCCACAGACCAGGGCAGTAAACTAGGACTTTCTAAAAACAAAAGTATCATCTGCTATTACAATACATACCAGGTCAGTAACATCCGTGTGGTTTGTTCTTGGTGCCCAGAGTCGTTCCTACATCACATTGAGCAACTGATGGTTGTTTAAACTCTGCTAGATTTCCTCTTGGCTGCTGTTGAAGTGTTTGTGGTTTGTTTATATGGCTAACCTGAACTTTCGCACTATTTGTTTAGCTTCTCTTCTTTCTCAAAACTGGGATTTACTGGTTGAAGATGGTGATGTTTTCTCAACAGGTAGTAATTGGAAATTTGCAGCAGGTGCTGCTCATGACCTTCAGAATCTGTTATGAGGGTTCACGTTCTCTTTTAGAAACAGTATTTCTTTATAATTCGTGACACCTAAAGTTAAATAAGTACATGCAGCCTCCTTTATCACTGATCTTGCTGCCAGTACAACTTCGAGGTACAAAAGCTTTGAGATACCACTCGCTTTTTTTTTTTTATTAACTGGTTATTTGTGTCCTGAAATCCATCATCTAGTAAGTTCCTGCTCCTTCTCAAGTTCTAGCAGTCTTGAGAGCTTTTTGTTATGATTGCAGTGAACTGGCCAGCTGTTTATCCAACAGTGTCTGGCTTTGTTTGGAAAACAAATGGGTGAAGGAGTTAGTTTACACATATTGAGTACATTGCTTTGATTCCCTTGATGCTGGTAGCTTATTGTGTTCAAGATTACGTACTCTGTTAATGGAAGAAGAGAGACTGCTGTGCACAGAACAGTATTTTAAAACAATAAACCCGCCTGCCCTCTTGTTTCCTGGGGAGAGAGTATGTTCTCCATAGCATACTCTGCAGCATTTGCAGCTGAGTTGGATTTCTGGTGGATAATGAGGAGGGAGGGAAGCACCAGGCTTTCCAAGTGCAGGTCCCTGTGCTGTGGTGGAAGTTCTGTTGGTGTTTTTAACTGCGAATCTTATGAAATAGGGATGCTGAAAAGTCAGCTCTGTGGCTCTTGCTCCTGCTTGTCCTGTAAACTGAGGAGGCTGCTCGTTTCAGAAGGGATTTGTGTGGCAGAGCTCTGACATGCAGTGTGGATTAGCTGCTGGCTGAATGCTGTTCTCTCTCCTTGCAGGTGGTGCAGTTCAATCGCTTGCCTTTGGTGGTGAGTTTCATTGCCAGCAGCAATGCCAACACCGGTATGTCTTCACATGTATTTTAAATATTGCAGAATTTTAAGGTCCAAGTGTTTAAGTACTTGAAAATAAATTACCCGAGCTTACTTGAAGGTATATTAACTTTGCTCCTGCTATTAATTTTGTCAGCATATTATGAAGGGGGAAGGGAAAGATGTCAGTAAAAAATGATAGATTCTAGGTGATTTGCTGAAGTTGTTACTCTGTTAGAAGCATATTTCTCCTGTGATTAACCTTTCCCTTGCTGCCTGAGAGTGTTCACTGCACCAGCAATGACTGTACCGTACAAACCAGTTGTTTGGTCTCTTTCCATCAGTTCCAAGTTATCTTCTGCAGTGACACGGGTGGCTTCAGGTTGTCAGTTCTGTGGGGTGGGGAGATCCTCCAGGAAGGCACCCGGCCTTGCTCATGAGGGTGTTGGCTGATGGGTGTGAGCAAAAGGGATTTAATTCTTGCACAGCTGTGTGGGCCTTGGTGGCTGTGGGAAGCAGCAGTGCGGTGGGAGCTCTGCTGCACAGTGTGTGCCCCTGTTGGTGCTGGGGGCTGTGGGCACCCTCCCTCGGGGTGCTGGCAACTATTCCCGTGGTGAGTGGGCACCTCGAGTGAAAATGCTGCCTGTGACTTGGGAGGGGAGGTAAAGAGGCTTCTCGGTTATGTCGTTTGATGGGGTGTCCTGTCTCTTCTCTTTCCAGGGCTGATTGTGAGTTTAGAGAAGGAGCTCACACCCCTCTTTGAAGAACTGAGGCAGGTTGTTGAAGTTTCTTAAGTTGATGGTATAGCCGGAGTGCGGCATCCCTCTGCAGCCCAGTGGACAGAAAGATTCAATAATCCTCAGTCAAATAACATGTCTTGGAAGAAATGCCACAGCTCCTTAGTATACTAAGTTAAGAGTAAATTGTACATAGTACTGAATCTGAAATGATCTACTAGTGTGTTGTAGGTGGATGTTACTTAGGCCACGCTTCTTGTATTGTGCAGTACTGGAGAGACCACCAAACTAGCTCCTATGAGCCAGATTGGTGTGATGTGTCGGCTCGGATGAGCAACTCGCAGATCTCTTGCTTTACAGGGAACCAGGCACGTGGTGGGTGTATCCTCATGCCAGCTTCCACTGTGTATGGGAAAGCGGATTGCTTGTATGGTGTTAGCAAACATGGGGTTGAAAGAATGTTGTGAGCAAGTTTCCTAGCAGTGATGTGTCAGTACAATCAATAAATGCCCCAGCTTTCTTGCGTGGGTGATACTTAGGCAAGGGAATGCTACTCATCTGGATGCTAGCTGCATCCTGCTTCCACTAAGAAGAAAGCTATTTCTATGAAAGCTGTTACTTTAGGGGTTTTCCTGATGCCCAGATAAAAGCACCCAAACAGTGTCTCACTTTTTCGTGGGGTTTTTTTGTGTAATATGGTTGTGAAGATCTCATGCCTCATAGTCTTTGTGTGGGCTCATCACTGGTGACACTCTCAGCTCATTTACCCTTAGGTTTTCCGAAGTAAATAAATATAAATACAATGCAATATTTTTAAATGTCAGAGCCGGGTTCACTCTTCTGTTGCACCATAATACTCTACAGCACATCAGCTTTTCTGTGTAGAGAGCAAGTCTCTTAATTGTAAGTTTACAAAATCCAGGAGTTTATGGGCTGAAAACTAACCAGTGTCTCTCAAGTGGGTGATACAGATAGGGATTCCTGGGTCAGTGTGGAGATGCAGAGGTTGTGCCAACAGGCTTCCTGCTGCTGGGGTTTGATCCTGTGCTCTTTTCACCCCTCATTCCTCTTGGCATGACTCTGGTGTGGACTTCAGCACTAAAACCAAGCGGCATGGGTCTAAGGGAGAGCTCTTGGCAGGTCTGCCCCCTCACTTACACCTGCCCATCCTCAGCGTCAGGCAGGATGCCCCATTTCTTTTACTGCCTTCAGTTTGTGGCATCATGTGCTGAACTTGCTTCCAGTATTTTGTAACACAGCCTGTTCACGTGAAAAAGGGAAGGCTGCTTTTGTGGGCACACATCAGGCTTCATTTCCAAACTGTTTTCACCAAACAGTGATGCTGTTGGAGAGCATCAGCTCTCTCTTCCCCTTATGTTGCCTCTATCTCACACAAACTTCCTCAAAGCTTTTTAACTAAATGGGAGATGCCAGTTTGTTAAGCTACTTCTTTAAGGCAAAAAGGAAGGCAAAGCTGTAACAACAGAGCACAGGAATACAGAAAACCTTTAGTAGTTTTGTAATGACATTTTATTCAGAAAACAGTCTGTATGAAAATATTTACAAATATTTTGAATTTCTGAGTTGAAATAAAATATTCCTATGTTCAAATCTAGATTTTCTTTGTTCTTCCAGTATGTGTTTTTTCCCTCTTCTTCACTCTTCTCACAGTAAAGGCATTTATCAAACACGGACCTGCTCTGTGAGCAATACCAGCCTGTGCCACAGCATTCTGCACTGTGGGAAAGGTTTG